GGGTGAAGGCAGTGCTGGAAAATAATGGCGGCCACACAGAATATTGACACTTTGGGCCCAATGTGGACTTTGTCACTTAGGGGTGGACTCACTTTTGTTGCCAGCGGTTTAGACATTAATGGCGGTGTGTTGAGTTAATTCATTGTAGCAAAGTGTCATTTCTTCAGTGTTGTCACATGGAAAGATAGAATCAAATATTGACACAAATGTGAGGGGGGGGAACGGATGACACACACACACATACACATTGATTACAGTCCGGGGGAGGGGGGGACTCACTTCTGGGAGATACTGTATATATACCTGGACCCACTCATCCAGGCCCAACGGTCGTAAAGGTGGTGGGGTTGGTCTGCTCCTGTCACCGCAGAGCACCTTCCGAGTCCTCCCAAACCCCCCTCCCTATCCTTCTCCTCCTTCGAAGCCCACTGCATCCGACTATTCTCCCCAACCCCCCTGAAGATTTGCTGTGATATACCGGCCTCCTGGATCCATATCCCGCTTCCTGGATGACTTCTCCTCCTGGCTACCCTTCCTCCTCTCCTCTGAGCTACCCACCATCATCCTTGGGGATTTCAACATCCCTGCCAACCTCAACAACCCGGACACATCCCATCTCCTCCACTTAACCTCCTCCTTTGCACTTGCACAGTGCATACAATCCACCACCCACTCCAACGGTAATATCCTTGATCTTGTCTTCTCCCTCCTCTGCGCTCCCCACAACCTCACTAACACCCCCTTCCCTCTCTCTGACCACAACCTGATCACCTTCTCTATCTCCTCGTCCTCCAACACCTACCCCTCCAAATGTCACACTACTACCAGCCGTAACCTCCGCAACCTTAACCCTGCCCCCCTCCACTCTGCAGCTGATCAACTCCATGACAGCATCCTCCCCCTGTCCTGCCCCGACTTGGCTATGACCGCCTACAACAATGCGCTCTCAACAGCCCTTGACTCACTAGCGCCTTTAACCACATGCAACATCAGACCCCGACCACTCCAGCCCTGGCAGACTGATCACACCAAAACCCTCAAGGACACAGTCGTGCCCTGGAGCGACTATGGCGCAAAACCAAATCCCAACAAGCCTTCACCCGCTACAAATCTGCCTTCCACACCTACACCTCCTCCCTCCACGCAGCCAAACAAGCCTACTTCTTGACCCTCATCAAGGCCCTCTCCTCCAATCCTCACCGAATCTTCTCTGCCTTCAACTCTCTACTCTCTCCACCCCCACCTCCACCCAGCACCTCACTCACCGCCCTTGAGATTGCCAATCACTTCAAAAACAAGATTGACACAATTCGCAAGGACATCGCCGCAACTCACACGCCCTCTCAACCCGTCCCCTCTCACACAGCTACCCCCTCATCCCCCTCCCCCTCGACATTACCCGCAGGGACTTCGTCACTGCTCAAACTTCCTCCAACCCCGTTCCCCCTCACTCAGCTACCCCCTCATCACACCTCTCCCACGGCCCCACCACTGCTCTGATCTCCACTTCCACCCCACCCTACATTCCTCATACTGAAGCTCCCCCAACACTCCGCACCTTTGACCTTACTACCATCGAGGAAGTCTCCAAGATCCTCTCTGATGTCCGCCTCACCACCTGCCCCCTCGACCCTATCCCCTCACAACTCCTACGACCTCCCTCCCCCTCCATCCTACGCTCCCTCACCCACATCTTCAATCTCTCCCTCTCTTCCGGCACTTTCCCCTCCCTCTGAAACATGCACACATCACCCCCATACTTAAAAAGCCCTCCCTGGACCCCAATGACCCGAACAACCTCAGACCCATCTCCCTGCTCCCATTTACATCCAAACTCCTCGAGCGCCTCGTCTACACCCGCCTATGCTCTCACCTCAAACAACAACAACCTCCTCGATCCCCTACAGTCCGGCTTCCGTCCTCTACACTCCACCGAAACCGCCCTACACTCCACCGAAACCGCCCTACACTCCACCGAAACCGCCCTACACTCCACCGAAACCACCTTACTCAAACTCTCCAACGACCTGCTAACCACCAAAGCTAATGGCCACTATTCAGTGCTCCTACTCCTTGACCTCTCTGCGGCCTTCCACACAGTCCACCACCCCCTCCTCCTCAAAAAACTACACTCCCTCGGCCTCAGAGATTCTGCTCTCTCCTGGTTCTCCTCCTACCTGTCACAACGCTCTTTCAGCATTGCCTATAATGCTACCACCTCCCCCTCACTCCCCCTCTCTGTTGGGGTCCCTCAAGGCTCTGTCCTTGGGCCCCTTCTCTTCTCCATCTACACCTCCTCCCTTGGCCAACTCATACACTCTCACGGCTTCAACTACCACCTCTATGCCGACGACACACAAATCTATCTCTCAACCCCCCACCTCACCCCCTCGGTCTCCGCCCGAATCACACACCTACTGAACGACATATCAGACTGGATGTCGCTCCACTTCCTTAAACTGAACCTCTCCAAAACCGAGTTTTTTGTCTTCCCCCCAGCCTGGACCCCACCCCCCATTGACTTCTCCATCACATCAAACAACACCACCATCAAACCCGCCCCGCAGGCCAGAGTACTTGGTGTCATTCTGGACTCCAACCTATCCTTCCAGCCCCAAGTCCAATCACTAACAAACTCATGCAGACTCCGCAACATGCAGACTCCACCTCCGCAACATGCAGACTCCGCCTCCGCAACATCGCCAAAATCCGCACGTTCCCTAACCCCAGAAACCACTAAACAGCTCATCCACTCCCTCATCATATCACGACTCGACTACTGCAACTCCCTCCTCACTGGCCTGCCTCGCCGCTGGCTATCCCCGCTTCAGTCCATCCTGAATACGGCTGCCAGACTCATTCACCTTTCCAACCGCTCCATCTCCGCCACCCCCCTCTGCCAATCCCTCAACTGGCCTCCACCCCCCTCTGCCAATCCCTCCACTGGCCTCCATTCAGTGTCCTCCACCCCCCCCCTGCCAATCCCTCCACTGGCCTCCATTCAGTGTCCTCCACCCCCCCCCCTGCCAATCCCTCCACTGGCCTCCACTCAGTGTCCTCCACCCCCCACCCCCCACCCCCCCCCCTCTGCCAATCCCTCCACTGGCCTCCATTCAGTGTCCTCCACCCCCCTCTGCCAATCCCTCCACTGGCCTCCACTCAGTGTCCTCCACCCCCCTCTGCCAATCCCTCCACTGGCCTCCACTCAGTGTCCTCCACCCCCCTCTGCCAATCCCTCCACTGGCCTCCACTCAGTGTCCTCCACCCCCCTCTGCCAATCCCTCCACTGGCCTCCATTCAGTGTCCTCCACCCCCCTCTGCCAATCCCTCCACTGGCTTCCGATTGCGCAACGGATCAAATTCAAAATCCTAACACTGACGTACAAAGCCGTCCACCATACTGCCCCGAACTACATCACTGACCTAATATCCAAGTACCACCCAACACGCACACTCCGCTCCTCACAAGACCTCCTTCTCTCTAGTTCCCTGGTCTCCTCCTCCCATGCCCGCCTCCAGGACTTCTCCAGGGTGTCACCCATCCTCTGGAACTCCCTGCCCCAACCCATCAGATTATCACCTACTCTCCTCTCCTTTAGGCGCACCCTGAAAACCCATCTCTTCAGGGAAGCCTACCCCACCCCCTGCTAACTTGCCGACCTCCTCCACTCTTCCTACCACTCCATCCCCCACAGCTATCTCCTCCTGTGCCACCATCCCCTCCCTCCTAGATTGTAAGCTCCCAAGGATCAGGGCCCTCGATCCCCTCACGTATCACATTGTATTGGTATTGTTCTGTCACATGTTCTGTCCCCCATTGTAATGTACAGCGCTGAGCCAACTATGGGGGCTTTATAAATACTGTATAATAATAATATATATACACACACACACATTGTATACAGTCGGGGGGGGGGGGGGGGGGGGGGGGGGGGGGGACTCACTTCCGGGGGATACTGTAACTGGATATACCATTTATAGGTGAAGTTGATCCGGGAATATCAGATTGCCTCTCGGGGGATCAGGAAGGAGATGGGATCGGGATTTGCTGGGTTTTTGCCTTCTTCTGGATAAACATTGGGGAATAGGATTATACATTTTTTCCCTTTTATGGTAGAAATGGATGGAATGTCTTTCATCCAGAATGACGATGTAACTGTGTCAGCGGGGAGTGGAGAGTTTTAGATGTGTGTTAGTGAGCGCACTGTACAGGGACATGGTATATGGGAGTGACATACATACACTCAGGTAGAACTGGATGGAGCGGTGTCTTTATCCAACCTTCCATGTAACATGATGTGATGAATGTGGTCAAGCATCGATGATCACGGATAACCGGGTAATCTGCACTGTAGGTTTGGGAGTTTTTGGGGGGGAAGGGGGGGGGCGGCGGGATGGATGGACTGATATGTGGGGCTCATTCACTAAATGCAACAAAGGAAACCTGTCATTGAGGTGAGATACAGAGGAGGAGAGCTGAATGCACTGTACCCACAAACAGCCAGGCAATTAGTATTTTCCAGAGGCTGGTAGCAGGCCAGTCCCATGATTCTCTCGGGATCTATATGGGAAATTGCTTCTCAGGAGAGTCCATCTTACTGACCTGCTATAGCTCATTGAATTTCCTCTGCCCTGTTATTGGAGAACAGCCGGCCACGTGACTAACGGGCCACGTGACTAACGGGCCACGTGACTAACGGGCCACGTGACTAACGGGCCACTACTAACGGGCCACGTGACTAACGGGCCACGTGACTAACGGGCCACGTGACTAACGGGCTAATTATTTTTTCATTATTTTGTTCCGCAGCCTTCAGAGTCTCAATGCCAGCAATGTGCAATTCACATCATTGTAGTAAAGCAGTGATAGGACACAGTACAGCCATACCCCTCCATGGATTACAGAAAACACAACCACAATGGGACTTCCAGGAGGATGAGAGGGACTGTCACGGGGTGTATGGGGTGTACAGGGACACTGTATAGGTGGCAGCCATTACCCAGAGTGTGCAGAGTCTGGTCATTGTCTGCCACAAGCTCGCTGTACAGCTGCCGCTGTTCCGTCTCCAGACGCAGCCATTCCTCCTCGGAGAAGTGCTCGGTGTGCTCTGGGGGATGGGGACCCTGAAAAAAAACAGACAGATTGGTCTTTTCACCAATGTTTTCACCCAACATTCACCCATTTTCTACCTGAAGCTGAATAGACCCTAAAAAAACTAAAAGGGGAAGTCTGGGAAAGGTTTGTGGATCAAACTTCCCTTGTGAGTCTCAGGGGTGCACTTACTTTTGCTTTTCTGTGACCCAGAGACAACTGGTGGTGGGCTATTGCCTACAATCAGAGGCTGTCACAGAGCAGCTCCAGGTTGTAGATGTATCCCAACAATATTGTCAGGATCCCCCCAGATCCCTGGGAGCTGCATCCAGCTGTTCCCACCCCCTACTCAAGCTAATACTCCAGTGAATGCTGGAGGAGCAGAGAGGAGAGCGATGACTGACAGTCACTGTGCTCCTCGCTGTGCAGACCGAGAACTGAGCGATCAGCGGTCATGTGATCAGCGGTCATGTGATCAGCGGTCATGTGATCACAGTTCTTGGGTTTTGAGCCGGCGGGGGCAGTTGCAGCATGGAGGCGAGTATGTGTGTTTATTGTATAAACCCCAAACGTCTCCTTTAACCGCTTCCCGTCCACCATATAGAGAAGTACTGCTACAGGGCGGCACGGGGGCGCAAAATCACATATACACGCCTTCGCATTTCCAGGGGGGGCGTGCACACGCCCTACCCGTGCCGCCATTCGCAGCCACGGCTGTCAATCAACGGGTCCCGGCCAGTGATTACTTGCTGGTGCCTGGTGATTGCCGAGCAACTCCGACGGGGGAGGGGAGCGGTGAAGCAAAACACAGCCCAGTATGACAAACTGCACACAGTTAACCCTTTGATTGCCCCTCACATTACCCCCTTCCTGCCCGGTGTCATTAGTACAGTGTTGGGGCTTTATATTAGCACTGATCACTGTATTGGTGTCACTGGGGATGTCAGGGACACCAAGTCAGTCCCCCCCCCCCCCCAGTGTCAGAATGCCCGCCGCAGTCCTGCTATAAGTCGATCTCCGCCATTACTAGTGGAAAAAAAAAATCCCCGTATTTATCCCGCCATTTGTAGACGCCATAACTTTCACGTAAACCGATTCATTTTAAACGTATTGGGATTTTTTATTAGCAAAACACACGAAACGGAACACATTTTGGCCGAAATTTGATTTTTTACTGGAGATCAATAATGACCCCCAACATGGGTGTGAGATCAATAATGACCCCCAGCACGGGTGCGAGATCAATAATGACCCCCAGCACGGGTGCGAGATCAATAATGACCCCCAGCACGGGTGCGAGATCAATAATGACCCCCAGCACGGGTGCGAGATCAATAATGACCCCCCAGCACGGTGCGAGATCAATAACGACCCCCAGCACGGGTGCGAGATCAATAACGACCCCCAGCACGGGGTGCGAGATCAATAATGACCCCCAGCACGGGTGCGAGATCAATAATGACCCCCAGCATGGGTGTGAGATCAATAATGACCCCCAGCACGGGTGTGAGATCAATAATGACCCCCAGCATGGGTGTGAGATCAATAATGACCCCCAGCACGGGTGCGAGATCAATAACGACCCCCAGCATGGGTGTGAGATCAATAACGACCCCCAGCATGGGTGTGAGATCAATAACGACCCCCAGCATGGGTGCGAGATCAATAATGACCCCCAGCACGGGTGTGAGATCAATAGTAACTCCACCCACAGTACAGTTCCTCTCATTTAGTGGTGGATTCTGGAACACCGAGAGATTCCAGTACACTGCAGTCCATTGGTGGCACCACTGACACAGTGACAGTGCGATCCCCTCATATGGTGTCACAGAAATGAGCTCAGATGTCATTCAGTACGCCACAGACGCCACGCCCACCACAGACGCCACGACCCCACCACTCCCGCCACAGACAGCACACCCACAACACCCGCCACAGACACCACGCCCGCCACAGACACCACGCCCACAACACCCGCCACAGACACAACCCCACCACAGACAGCACACCCACACACAGACCCACAGACACCACCCCCACCCAACAGCACACCCAAACCCCCCCCCCCCCCACCACCCCCCAACACCCCCCCACAGACACCCCACGCCCACAACCCCCCCACAACACCACCCCCCCCATCTACCGGACCAGCCACCCAACCCCCCCCCCTCTCAACCGGACAGGCCACCTCCCCCCCCCTCTCTACCGGGACACCCACCTCCCCCCCCCCCCCCCCCCTCTACCGGACAGCCACCTCCCCCCCCCCGGGGGGTTTCATCTCCCCCCCCCCTCTCTACCGGACAGCCTTTACCCCCCCCCCTCTCTACCATACAGAGATCCCCCCCCCCCCCCTCTCTACCGTAAAGTCATCCCCCCCCCCCCTCTCTAACCGGACAGCCTTTTCCCCCTCCTCTACCGGACAGCCATCAGGAGTACAGGTGAAACTCGAAAGATGAGAATCTGGTGCCTTCATTCATTCATTCATTCATTCATTGATTTCAGTGCAGCAACTTAGAAGGTGACACTAATATATGAGACTCATTCCATGCAAAGCAAGATAGTTCCAGCCGTGATTTGTCATCATTGTGATGATTATGGCTTACAGCTCATGAAACCCCCAAATCCACAATCTCAGAAAATGAAATATTCCATGCAATCAATAAAACACGGATTGTACATAGAACAATATCGGACCTCTGAGAAGTAGAAGCTGCATATGTACTCAGTACTTGGTTGGGCCCCTTTTGCAGCAATTACTGCCTCAATGCGGCGTGGGCATGGAAGCTATCAGCCTGTGGCACTGCTGAGGTGTTATGGAAGACCAGGATGCCTTCAATAGCGGCCTTCAGCTCTTCTGCATTGTCCGTCTCATGTCTCACTTTCATCTTTCTCTTGGCAATGAACCCCTATAGATTCTCTATGGGGTTCAGGTCAGGCGAGTTTGCTGGCCAATCAAGCACAGTTAATCCCACGGTCATTGAACCAGGTTTTTGGTGCTTTTGGCAGTGTGGGCGGAGCCAAGTCCTGCTGAAAAATGAAGTCATCATCCCCATAAAAGCTGGTCTGGGCGGAAGGAAGCAAGAAGTGCTGCAAAATCTCCTGGTAGACGGCTGCGGTGACCCTGGACTTAATGAAGCACAGTGGGACCAACACCAGCAGATGACATGGCGCCCCAAATCACCACAGACTGTGGAAACTTCACACTGGACTTCAAGCATCTTGCAGTGTGAAGCCTCTCCATTCTTCCTCCATACTCGGGGTCCTTGTGCCTCTCCATTCTTCCTCCATACTCGGGGTGCCTTGGGCCTCTCCATTCTTCCTCCATACTCGGGGTCCTTGTGCCTCTCCATTCTTCCTCCATACTCGGGGTCCTTGGGCCTCTCCGTTCATTTTCCTCCATACTCGGGGTCCTTGGGCCTCTCTCCATTCTTCCTCCATACTCGGGGTCCTTGGCCTCTCCATTCTTCCTCCATACTCGGGGCCCTTGGGCCTCTCCATTCTTCCTCCATACTCGGGGGTCCTTGGGCCTCTCCGTTCTTCCTCCATACCTCGGGGTCCCTGGGCCTCTCCGTTCTTCCTAACTCGGGGTCCTTGTGCCTCCATCATTCTTCCTCCATACTCGGGGTCCAGGGCCTCTCCATTCTTCCTCCATACTCGGGGTCCTTGGGCCTCTCCATTCTTCCTCCATACTCGGGGCCCTTGGGCCCTCTCCATTCTTCCTCCATACTCGGGGTCCTTGGGCCTCTCCATTCTTCCTCCATACTCGGGGTCCTTGGGCCTCTCCATTCTTCCTCCATACTCGGGGTCCTTGGCCTCTCCATTCTTCCTCCATACTCGGGGTCCTTGGGGCCTCTCCATTCTTCCTCCATACTCGGGGGTCCTTGGGCCTCTCCATTCTTCCTCCATACTCGGGGGTCCTTGGGCCTCTCCATTCTTCCTCCATACTAGGGGGTCCTTGGGCCTCTCCATTCTTCCTCCATACTCGGGGGCCCTCTCGGGCCTCTCCATTCTTCCTCCATACTCGGGGTCCTTCGTGCCTCTCCATTCTTCCTCCATACTCTGGGGTCCTTGGGCCTCTCCATTCTTCCTCCATACTCGGGGTCCTTGAGCCTCTCCATTCTTCCTCCATACTCGGGGCCCTTGGTTTCCAAATGACATGCAAAAGTTGCTCTCATCAGAAAAGAGGACTTTGGACCACTGAGCCCCAGACCAGGTCTGTTTTTCTTTAGCCCAGGTAAAGACGCTTCTGACGTTGTTTGTTGTTCAGGAGCGGCTTGACAAGAGGAATACGACATTTGAAGCCCATGTCCAGGATCCGTCTGTGTGTGGTGGCTCTTGATGCACTGACTCCAGCCTCAGTCCACTCCTTGTGAAAGTCCCCAACACTTTTGAATGGCCTTTTCCTGACAATCCTCTCCAGGCTGCGGTCATCCCTGCTGCTTGTGCACCTTTTCCTGACATTCCTCTCCAGGCTGCGGTCATCCCTGCTGCTTGTGCACCTTTTCCTGACAATCCTCTCCAGGGATTGCGGTCATCCCTGCTGCTTGTGCACCTTTTTCTTCCACACTTTTCCCTCCCACATACCTGTCTATTAATGTTCTTTGATACAGCACTTTGGGGAACATCCAACTTCTTCTGCAATTCCCTTTTGAGGCTTTCCCTCCTTATGGAGGGTGTCAGTGATGGGTGTCAGGTCAGCAGTCTTTCCCTCCTTATGGAGGGTGTCAGTGATGGTGTCAGGGTCAGCAGTCTTTCCCTGGTGTGTGGGTGTGTGTGTGTGGGGGGGGGGGTGGGGTGGGAGGGGGGGGGGGGGGGGGGGTGTTGGGTGGGGGTGATGGGGGGGGGGGGGGGGGGGGGGGGGGGGGGGGGGGGGGGGGGGGGGGGGTGGGGGGGGGGGGGGGGGGGGGGGGGGGGGGGGGGGGGGGGGGGGGGGGGGGGGGGGGGGGGGGGTTTGTGGGGGGGGTGGGGGGGGGGGGGGGGGGGGGGGGGGGGGGGGGGGGGGGGGGGGGGGGGGGGGGGGGGGGGGGGGGGGGGG